GAGCTGCCTTTTGGGTCCTGTGAATTGAATGTGGGTCCTCTGGTGGAGCGGCCAGCGCTCTGATCCACTGAGCCGTCTCTCCAGCCCCAGAACTAGGTTTGTTTTATTTTGTTCTATCAGATTCTGCAGGTGATCCGATTTATGTCAAACTGTTCGGCTTATTATCTGCTTGCAGAAGTACTAAGGCAAATAACTAAACAAAGGTTAAATGAAGCTGTTGATTAGATGAATGGAGACGTGTTCAGGGCTTTGCCATTGACATGGCTAGCTTGGGAAGGATACAGAGAGGGGTGCTCAAACTTTAGGGTGTCAGAGGGAGTCTACCACATGATTTTCAGTCCATTAGTCTTGAGGTAAGACTCCAGGCTGCCCGTTTGTAAAAAGTTCCTGGCTGTGCCTGCACGTGCTGGCCTAGGAGCTGCACTTTGAGACCAGAGATACAAGCAGGTAAAAGGGTTCTTACCCTAGGCCGTGTATGAGAATCAACCAGGCCAACTTTCTAAAATATTCATGCCAGGGCCTCGGCCTGACTGACATAATAGAACCTTGGCGGAGCCTTTGTGTGGCCGTTCTTAGAGCCCAGCCCTAGGAGTGAGGGTGCAGTTGTAAAGAGAGGGCAGGCAGAGAAGAGAACAGCAGGGGCTGAGGCTTCTGTAGCCATCTGGACAGGGGAGCCAGGGACAGTCCCGGGGAAGCCGACTTCACGTTTGCCAGTGTTCTTTCTCAGAGCTCCTTGAATGTACACCCCAAACACTCATTCTAGTGCCCTCTCCCCATTCAGGATCAATGCTTTGACAGTATAACCTTTTCAATGTGTTTCCATGTGCTGTCAAGATGGCTCAGCAGGTAAAGGTGCTTACTGCAAGTTCCATCCCATTAAGAACTGACCTATGACCTCCACAAGCTACTATGGCTCTCTTTCTCTCTCTCTCTCTCTCTCTCTCACACACACACACACACAAACAATAAATAAACAGTGTAATCACTTATATTTTTAAAGATTGTACACTTAAAGTTCTCTACCAAGGTAAAAATAAATAATTAAAATGAATTTTCATATTTCTCAAGCAAAACAATTATTAGTGTCAGGATTTTTTTTTTCTTTCTGCAATGCTGCCCTCTAGTGGTCACAAGTTAGAAACCATGAAAAATTCACCTCAGCTACCAATAAGGTATTTTTGGTTAGCTAAATTTGGGGAATTTTCTTTTAAAAATAGATTAGATAGATAGATGATAGATGATGGATAGATAGATAGATAGATAGATAGATAGATAGATAGATAGATAGAT